AAAAAAAAAAAAAAAAAAAAAAAAAAAAGAAAAAAACGCTGTGAAACGCAGTTGAACCGACAGCAGCAGATTCGTTTCGTTTCTCGACTGGTGAATAGACAGTTAACGATCGATATATAAAGAAGTCGGGAACAAAACACGTATATACGAATTAGACGATGACTAAAAGCCCTTCGATGATCCTGTTAACAATTTCATTCGATTTCTCTCAAAATTCACCGTGCATCGGTCGCTACAACATAAACACCGTGCATGCTACCGTGAAGTCTATTGTTAACTATGACGCCATCGTCTACGTAATATCACAGACAATCTTAAAATTTACCACGAAATGATACATCAACGACTCGAGACAAATATCTATTTTACAAATGCTTCGAGACCTCGACCAGTTTCCTTTTCATACAGCGACACGTCCGAACGGAAATATGACGAATTGTCTTTTGGACAAATCGTTCCGGAGCAAATCGTCGTTCGTGCCTGCCGTCGACGAATGATCTCGCACTACGAGAGGAAAAGATCACTCTTGATCGTGCACGCGATCGAATTTAATCCTATCTGAACTGTGAGAGTGAGATTTTTAGACGAAGGCCACGCGATTGAGCCCAGCCAGAAATTCGCGAGAATGTTTTTCAACAAATCGAGGTATGAACAGTTGCAGATACAATGGGACAATGAAACAATTTTCATCGAGGGGAAGTTTATAATCTTTTTGGTAAAATTTGTCGTTATTGGATTTGATACAAGTTGCCGATGAACACGAATTTCGTACAGAATGAACAACTTGACATAATCCAATGGCCATTTATTAACCATATTACCTACTCGTACCTAGCCTACATATTTGTTCGCATTCATTCGTCGCACAATACATGAGATCGCGTAAAGGACCATTGGATTATAGATGAAAAAGCTGTTTGCCTCTGTGTTTTTTTGCATCTGTAAATTCTCCGGTAAGTGAGTGTCGTGTTGACCGATATGTATCGTTAATTGGCAGCTCGAATCATTCGCGAATCACACGATCCATTTCGAAACGTGGCTATTTTAGACAGTTCAATCTATATACTAACGGTATACGTCGAATTTCAATCGCGTCGACGATCAACAAAGTTAACGTGACACGCGCTTGGCCAATCATTCTGTCGAATATTTTCGAAACGAACCCTTTTTACGAGAACGTGAAAACGCAAACGAAAGAATTGGCTTGGTACATCTACGAAGGAACGAAGTCGAGATCAGGTTCGATTCGATATACTGAAAAGTCGTTCAGTGCCTTAATAAAGGCTACCTTATCAGGACCTTTCAGGAGTCAACCTCCACTCCACTCCTCCCCAAATCTCATTGCGCGATAATTATAGAATTTAGAGTAAATTGGGGGGGGTGAGGGGGAGGGAGGAGAGGGAAAGATGGATTAACGTTCTATTCTCGAAGAAACAAATGATTTCCGTAGAAAGAAAAAAAAGAAAGAAAAGATTTTATAAATAACGGCAGATACTAAATTTAAAGAAAACTAGCGTCCATGGTCGTCCGTTTTCCTCTATTTTTTTCAACTTGTGCAGTTGATCAACGTAGCTTCTGAACGGCTGATATAGCCAGAGGGCCGATCCTCTCTCGCTCAACCGAATCACCTGGAAGCTCTTTCTAACCGGTGATCGGTAGAGCATAACCACGGTAGCTCGCGGTTGCCAGGTCAAAGTTAACGGTTATTCTCACAGAGAAAGAGAAGAGGAATCACACTAGTATGCACAGTCGAATCGCGTAGGTAGTCT